AGAGAGTTCTTGTCTAAGGTGTCTTAACCATGTTTTAGTATTTCAATCTCTGTGGGCGTATTGAGGAATGGAGATGATGTGATGCAAGACGCATAGGACCTAAATTTGTTAGTTTCCTAGATTCTCTAGTTTTCCCAGGATTTCTACTTTTCCAGATTTCTAGATTTCTAGTTTTAAGTTTCCAATTTTATTTGGGTTAGGATTTCTGTTTAAGCAAGTGATTTTTATCCTATTATGTCTAGGTTTTAGTTTGCTATAAATACCCCCATGTAGTTCTTTAAAATTCAGATTTGAATGTTGAGTAAACCTTTTCCTAGAACTCTCCGATTTCGTCCCTTCGATCTCTGTTTCTTCTCCTCGATCTCTGATATTCTTCTTTGTTCTACTGTTTCTCCCCTTTAACTCGTCTTTTTTTCTTCTCCTCGATCTCTTATATTCTTCTCTGTTCAATTGTTAAGTGATTAATTTAATACCTACTGGCTATACTACACCATGATGATGTCGGGACATTGTAGAAAGCTGACATTGGGATGATGGTCATGGATTGCATACTTCTAATCTTGGTTACATACTTCTAATCTTGGCCGTTTGATTGCATCTAAGAGATTACCAACACATTTAATGAATGCAATCCAACGGCCAAGATTATAAGTATGTAACCAATCCTTAACATAAAATATTTATTGGAGAATCTCCCTATATATATATAGCCCCCATACATGTTCCTACGACTTGCGAAGACCTGTGTTTTTAGTGAACAGTCGCTCGGGCCTGGTCACTGCGACCCCCTTTGTAAGGGAGCACTCCTTCTCCCGAAGTTCCGGGGCTATATATATAGGTTTTCTATAAAATAACTATGAAGGAATTTGATTTGACGTTTTAATTTGCGTAACCAAACCATGCGAGAAAGCCAGCAGCAAATAGCTTAACGTTCTCATTATGCATATAAAATAAGTATTATTTCATTAAAAAAATCTCCAAAATCCTAGTTGTAATGATGGTCTTGAATGAAACCCTTTTCTGATGATAGCAAGGAACAGTACTAATGGTTGATAGAGGTACAAAAATATCCAAATCTGTAACATATTTATATTATTTTGTGGGGGGAGGGAGGGGTAAATTAGTTCTTTTGTTTTTCACTGTTGAATTTACTTTTTTAATATATTCTACCAGTTAGCTTACTGCATGCATGTCCAAAAGTGGTTGGTTACTGTTGATGCTATTTTTTGTAAAAAATTCTAATGAAATTATTCATTGTACTTGTTCTCTCTTGAGATGATTTGGGTTATTCTATGGTGTGGCCCTTTTTTTGATCTCCAATATATAACTGGAAAAATTCTGGATCTGCAGAAAATTGGAAATCCAATCCTGGGTTGCTTGTATTTTGCATTATAATTGAAAATGAAATTATGGGTTTGCATTATAATTGGAAACCAAATTCCAAAACAAAAAGTTCTGAATTTTTTGCAGTTGGCCTAATTACTAAGGTGGGGGTAAGTTGTAGATCACTCTGATTGCTGGTTATGTTAGTTATAGTCACTTAAGTGTGAAAATAATTCATTTTTTTGGCAAGATGCCTTCATGGTTTATGGCTTAGCGTTGAAGTTATGCCAGTGAGCATAGATAAATTGCAGATGATCAAAACCCTGAATTAGATATTAGTGTGTGTCTTGGTGTTTGCAAACCAGAAGTTTGAATAAAGGGGTTAAATTCTTTTCCATTTTTTTGTTTCTCATGTATGCTTAGTCACATGTTAATTCTTCAATGTCTAACAATTTACTAGTGAACATGCCAATTGATTGGTTTTTTTTCTATTTTTTGTTATGAAGTACCAAGGATGTTATTGAAAAATACAACGTGCACATGAATGGTGTCGAAAAATTGAATGATCAAGAGATTGAACTGCAGGTAAATAAGTTCAATGGTTTACCTTTTCCATTTCCGCCTTTTAAATTGTTATGCAATTAATGGTAACATACTCTGTGATCTGCACTTTGGAGCTTCAAAATATATCTCTATATATAGCATCTGAAGGTTCTGATTGTTTGAACATAAATAAAAAGCATTATTTCCTGTTACATGCCAGACTTATGTACATATGCATGCAGCAGGGTCGGCCTCTTGGGCTAAATATATGTGGCTACGTGGCTTTGATAAGTCCATTTCTAGTGGGACTTATTAATTTGGTCTACAGATGGAAGGAAATAGTAGTCTTCGGCCAAGTCCTAGTGTTGTTTGAGAACTAGCCAATGAAAATATTGCAACATAGATTCATCAGCAACTATCAATCAATCTTTTTTTTTTCAGCAAAAAATACCCAGAACGATCTTAAAACCCCACCAAAAAAAAAAATTCCCTTGTTGCACACAAAAATTTGGAGCAGCTTAGCACAAGAATAACATGAATACTTAGGTCAAAATTTCATTAAACTCCTTATCTCTATAGAATTTGAGTAATCAGGAAAGAAACTCTGTTTTGATGCTCAAGTAGTGGTTGGTTGGGGAGTCCCCTACGTGTTAATATTGTGCTTTAGATTTAATCTGTTATCTGTTATTTTTCCATTTGCCTTGATCTAAGTTGGGTTTGTTGCTATTAATGAAATCCCTAAGTTTTTCAAGTAATTCATTTGATTCCATTTTCAAAAATATATTGTAATCCTTTTTTTTTTCCTTATATTTTTCGAGGCTGACATTTATAAGCTTTTCATGTGACAGAGACAGATTAAATTATGTAATGGTTCCAATATTTCTCATTTTAGCTGGAGCATGAAAACCACATCAAACTGAGTAAGGAACTCGAGGAGAAGAGCCGCCAGCTGAGGTACAAAATTCATGAACTTGTAAGATATTTGTGGCTGTTTAGTTGGTATTATTGTTTGATGTATCTGCTGAAATTGGACTGGCTTGCAACAGGCAGATGAAAGGTGATGATCTTGAAGGGCTGAATCTGGATGAGTTGCTGAAGTTGGAACAACTGGTGGAAGCAAGCCTTGGCCGTGTCATGGAAACTAAGGTCTGCCCTAGCTAATTTATTTTCTAGTAAGCATGGTGCGAAGGCTCTTTGTATTGTGGTTTAATTGTCGAAATCGTTTATTATTTAAATCTCAAATTAGGGATCCTTGTTGCATAAAGTTAGTTAAATTGTTTAAACGAAATGGTCAATTGGTCTCCGATAATTTTTATTTTTTATTTGTTTTTCTGGATGATTCTTGAATGAAAACATAAGCAATGAACCGGTCCAATAATATAAAGTAGGTCTTTGTTTGAAGAAGTGTCGTTTGTGTAAATAGGGTATATTTTTATTGCTGTATTTTGTGAAAAGCATAGTTGTATTCTGGGATGAGGTCTTAAATATCGGGATAATATCGATATATTGACGATAACACTATGGTTAGTTGTTAAAATATCGGACCCCTAAAAATTAGATATTATCGGGATAATATCGGGGATATTATCGATATTTAATACCTTTGTCACTGAGCTTTATTTTCTGAAAACTAACATCTAAATGCAACTGTTTCATTCTTTTCCAGGAAGAGCTGATTAAGAGTGAGATTATGGCACTTGAAAGAAAGGTTAGATGATTGATACGTACAGATCTGTAAATGGAAACAAACGTAAAATAATCACGACTTAAAAACCGAGTTTGGCTTTGGTTCTCTCTTTCATGCACTGACTATAATTTCAGGGAGCTGAGCTAGTTGAAGCCAACAACCAGCTAAGGCAGACGGTAAGCAACTACCACAATCATGTACATACTTCTTCTTATTTTTTCTTCTTTTATTTGTTTTTTGAGAGGAAGAGTGCTCTTAATAAAAGACTATGGGTTGATCTTTTTTTCTTTTGTAATTTTTTGCATAGCAGATGGTGATGTTATCTGCAGGAAATACTGGACCTGCGCTTATGGATCCGGAGAGGTTGAACAATAATATTGAAGGTGGAGGAGAAGAAGAAGGCATGTCAGCTGAATCTGCTATCTCCACCACCTGCAACAGTGCTGTCAGTCTCTCTCTTGAAGATGACTCCTCCGATGAGGTCACTTTATCCCTCAAACTGGGGTGAGCTACTTTTGCTATTTGCTATTTATATGCTTTTAAGTTTCATCTGAGAAGACGTGCTTGATCATTGCTTTATTTGATGGTACTCGGGCGTCGTGCAATTAGAGGGAGGAGGATATTTTCCCTTGTGTTGAGGGTCTTGCTTAGATTTATTTCTGTACTTGTCAACTTTGGGTTTCATTTTTTAACTCTACCAAACCAAAATATTTGGATTTTTAGAAAATAAAAAGTATGAATTGCTTATCCCACCGACTTTTTTTTAAATATAGAAATGTTATTGACAATTCAAAAAAATCATCACGAATTTCAGATATATTGTACAAAAACAATTGCACGATGATTTATTTGCCTGCAATTTCAATATTTTCAGTAATATAATATTAGTGCTCATTTGGGCCTAACTGTTTTCACCTATTTACTACACGGGAGCTTCTACAATGAGGAGTTTAGAGTGAGGAGCTTATTTGAGGGGTTCAATCCCACCATCAAATTATTTAAAATGTTTAAGTCTATTGATTTACTTACATTTGTTGATGGTGGGATTGAACCCCTCAAATAAGCTCCTCACTCTAAACACTTCATTAGAGCCTTTCCGTTTACGTACTAACCCTCCCAATTAGATTGAAGATGTTTTAGGGGTTTGTAGATCAAGTTTCTTTTGAGGTTTCATTTTTATGTCTTTGGGCCATTTCATTTTTTGTGTTTATATAAATTGAAAGAAGTTAGTGACTTCCATTGAAATTTCACATTTTTTTTAATTATATTTTGTTATAGAAAATAATAGATGGCTTATGTGAATTAACGTCATCATTATTGCATAGTATGGCAATCTTAATAAAATTATTTTATAACATTTTTTGTATAAAAATAATAATAATTCACTTTCTCGCATTATTCTATGAAAAATACAGAAGGCTTCAGTTGAGGAATCCTGACATTGAAAGGGGCTGAAAACGTAGGGGAGAATTTATTTCGCACTCCCACTGTGACAGCATAACCTGCATAATACAAGTTAAAACATCCCCACAAACAAATGGTGGTGCATGCATTCATGGTATTTCATTTATTCTTCACATTTTTTTTTATAAATTTGCTAATCACTTTGGACGTACTTTCTCTGAATTTCAGGCGTTAAGAAGTGGAGAAAGATGAAAGTTTACTCCCCTTATAACTAAATAAATAAAGTCGAGGTATTGTGAGATATCAGTGATTATGTGTCTTAACTCGACATAACATTAAAAATATTAAAGGGAGGGTAACTTTGTATTGTATTGTATTGTATCTAAACCTATATGTTACATGCAGCTTGAAATTGCTCTTTGACTTCGTATTGTATTTATAAGTTTGTATTAATGCAGCTTGCATGGTGACTTTTGTTGATTTTGAATTTGGTCACGGCGAGACTCGTATTGTCTGCGTGGATTAAATAAGTGAACTGAGGGAAGAAACCTGAGCAAGGTACAGGCAAAGCCACGTATCGCATGGTGGGCCCAATGGCGTGATATGACAGCCAATGACCTGTCTCCATCCGACTCCACATAAAAATAAAATTTATTCTTTCTTTTGTAGCCCTACACGTAATAAGAATTAAACCGACAACAAACTAAACTTAGATATTTATGACGGAAAAACACAAAACTTAGATATGGACAAAACCAATCACAAAAAGTAAGATGCTATATTATGTGCTGTCACATTACAAGATCAACGGTGGAGATTGCATGCATCAACGTCAAGGTGCATCTGTTCCCGTCGATTTGCTCAGGTTTTCCCAGAAGAGACCGAAAGTAAAGCAGAGGATAATAAAAATAGATGTTTTTCCATAAAAAGGAAAATTTCCTTTCTTGAACAACCAGCCACCAGCAGCCGCCGCCATTTGTCTCTCTAATTCTCTTAGTTTTTCTGGACAGACCAAAACTTCAGACCGGGCTGAAACCCCGACAAAGGTAAACATTAAAAAAAAGGAGGAAAACCCAGAGATTAATTTATTAAATTAATTAGGGTTCTTCTTCTTCTTCTTCTTCTTCTTTTTGTTGTGAACTTGTGACCTATTCGGGTTGGTGGGTTTTTCTGGGTTTTGTTCATTTAGATCTGGGGACCATTAAAAGGTTAAACTAATTGAGAACGGACCCAGAAAATATTATGTAGTTTTTGAGTGTGTGAAAAAATAATATATGTGAAAAGTGGTTGGTTTGAATTTTTTTTGAAGGGGAATGGTGAAAATGATGAGGGAAAAGATCAAAATCAAGAAGATTGACTACCTGCCAGCAAGGCAGGTTACCTTCTCAAAGAGAAGAAGAGGGCTCTTCAAGAAAGCTGCAGAGCTATCTGTTCTGTGTGAATCTGAGGTGGCAGTTGTCATATTTTCTGCTACTGGCAAGCTCTTTGATTATTCAAGCTCAAGGTACCAGCACCCACCACTGTATACCTTATAATTCTTTTGAATTTTTCCTTCCTTGAAAAAAGATAACCAATATGTATGATCATGGTGTCTGAAGTTTCACTTGACTTCTCTGTCTGTGTCTGTCTGTCTGTGTGTCTGTCTGAGAGAGAGAGAGAGAGAGAGAGAGAGAAAGAGACTCTGATAAAAAAAAAACATTGTCATTTGGGTAGAAATATATGTAGAGGAGAGGGTGCCTTTTATGGAAATTCCCTGTCCTTCCTGAAATTCCATGGTTTGAACTCTGCACACAGACATTATTTATTGTGTCAAAGGCAACTAGAAGCTTCTACAGAGAGAGAGAGAATCTTGTAGATGATACTTTTAGATAGTTATACTCTATTTCGAAGGAAACTAGTTCGAGGGTTACTACCTTGTATACTTTTGATTAAGACAGCTTCTAGCTAGGTGTCGCAGTTTGAGAAACATTATATGGTGATGTTGTTTTCTTATACTACATGCGCAATCAATTTTGTTTACCAAGCAAAACTGTGTATATCTTGTCCACTACCACCTATCACATATTCAAAATAGATAATATATAAAATCTTAGGTGGGGCTTATACAACGAAAAAATCCTTGTCCAAGTCGAATGACATAAAATTAATAGTTCTCTTGTGAGAGACACGATATGTTAGACCATCAATTAAATCATACACTCAAACAAGAATGCATATCACGAATTCTAAATTCTTAGTCTGACCGCATAAAATGATAGATAGTCTATACTATATGTATATATCTTATCCTTCAAAGTTAAGATAATGGTGGGTTGTGTTTGAAAAAGGTGTCTTTCGTTCTCCCCGCCTAAACTAAAAAAATGCCAGTAAATTAATGTGGTTACAGACATTGAATTATATGTTCGTAGTTTTCTTACTAGAAATAATGTGATATGATGATAACTTGAGTATTCATCGTATAGAATCCCTGAAGACTTTCAACTGGAATATGCATGAATGCTTTCAAGTAGGGGCAATGGGTGGTGGAGCTATTACCATAACATGTTTTTGCCATGAATGCATGAAAAAGATGTTGTTAAAACCTAGTTTCATAATTAGATGTGCATGCATGAGAGGGAGGGTGAGAATTAAATGTTAACTATGGAATAAGAATTTAAATAAGGTCATGCTTCCTTTCAGTTAACAAAATAAGCGCTGATCGTTTATACTTCAAAAATAAAACAAAATAAAAACGTAGAAATACCACCTCTATTTGTTAGAAAAAGAATTCCGTTATTTTTACTATTAATAACATGCGTCAAATGCAAATGCAAATTAAGAACAAAATTGAAAGACCTTTAACTGTTTATCTCAGTATGCAATTTCATCCAGTCTGATTCTCACCGCAAATTGGAACTATTCATCCAATCCGGGTCGGTTTGGTTTTGATAAAAAAAAAATTATTTGTTCTAGTATGGTCTGGTTTGCCCATGAGCTGGTTCGGTTTATGGTTTTGGATCGAAATCTTTTTTTTTTATTATTTATTATTTTTTATTTTTACAAAACCCAACTAAAATTTTATTTTTTGGGCTTAAAAATTCACAAAAGGCCCAATTTCATGCAAGGGAAGGTGATTGAGCCTATAAAAGAGAGGTGATTTGTAGTTGGGCTTGAGGAAAGATTAGTTATGAGCTTAGAAATTTAGCATTGCACTTAAAAACTTAAAAGCACAGCCGGTCTGGTTTGGCTTAGTCTTGTTTTTTCACTTCAAGAATCAAAATCAAAACCAGACCAAACCAGTCTGATTTGGTTTTTGGTCAACTTGGTTCAGTTTCTAATCAACTCAGTATTTTCCAGCCCAAATCAGTTTGGTTTTCCAATTTGAATGCCTACCCCTAGTTTTCTACTCAATTTTCATGTCCTATTACCCTAGCTTTGGGGAGTCTAGATCCCCTTGTTCCAATAGGGCTTGAGTAAGTTATTCTTCAAGAATTAATGGTTTAAAAGAGCCTATTAATATATCTACTAGGGAATTGGCCTCCAAGTGATGAGTGAAGTTTCCGACGTGTTTAATGATCTTTCTAGGGTGCATCTGGCTTCTGAAGCTCTAAAGTGTTTGAGAAGAACAAGATTAGTTAAGAATGAAATGTTATTGTCTAAGGTGTGTTAACTACACTTTAGTTCTTCGGTTTCTATGGACGTACTGAGGAATGGATATGATCACGTCGGGACATAGGAGAAAGTTGACGTTGGGATGATGATCATGGCTAGTTTTTAAAACACATTATCGGTAGTATTATTGGCATAGGCCTACATAGAGTTGTGTGAATTGTCAGATCTATCACTACCTGCAAGAAAAACTTGGATCAGATTGATTTTCATAAAAATAATATGGTGTTTGTTTGAGATTTGTTGGTGTTTGACGTTCGCAATATCTGATTCGTATTTGCATGCATGGTAGCTAGCGCTGACGAATTCAGGATAAAAAAGAAGCCAATCAAAAACACCCACCGACTAAAAAGAGGCCAACCAAAGATAACAATATTCAAAGCATATTTCAAAATCAGCTCCAGAGTTGATGTGAGAGAAACTGTCTGTGACTAAGATTTTTGAGGCCCACTTATTAGCTCATGACTTGATTTTCTCACGTCGGTTTGCCTTGTGTTCTAAAATATCTCAGCTGCTTGGGTTGGTCTTATATATAATAATTCTTTAAAATAGCTATAAAAGGAATTGGACTTGACGTTTTCATTTGCAATAAAGCCAGCAGCAAATAGCTTAACGTTCTCATTATGCATATCAAATAAAAGTATATATATATATAAGTGTATATCTGTGTTTGCAAACCAGAAGTTTGAATAACGGGGATTAAATTCTTTTCCATTCTTTTGTTTCTCATGTATGTTTAGTCACACGTTAATTTTTCTATGTCTAATAATTTACCAGTGAACATGCCAATTGATTGTTTTTTTTCCTTTTGTTTGTGAAGTATCGAGGATGTTATTGAAAGGTACAAAGCGCACACAAATGGTGTCGAAAAATCGAACAAACAGTTTCTTGAGCTGCAAGTAAATGAGTTCAATGACCTTTTCTCTTTACCCCTTTTAAATTGTTCTGCAATTAATTGTAACATACTCTGTGATCTGCACTTTGGAGATTCAAAATGCATCTCTATAGCAGCTGACGGTTCTGATTGTTTGAACGTAAAATATAAAAAACATTATCCTGTTACATGCCAGACTTATGTATATGCATGCAGCAGGGTCGGCATCTTGGGCTAAATATATATATGTGGGTGGCTTTGATAAGTCCATTTCTAGTGGGACTTAATTTGGTCTACATAAGAATTAGCCAATGAAAAAATTGGGACATAGATTCATCATCAACTATCAATTATTATTTACTTTTACTGTTAGTTGTTTTCCAAGTGTTCAAAGGAGAGGGTAAATTATTTTATAGGTTTTTACAAATAATTCCATTATATAGAGGCTCAAAATTAGCCACTTGTCATTTTCTAATTGGTTCTTAGAAAATTTGAACACACTAATAACCAATCAGAAAATGACAAGTGGTTAGTTTTGAGTTTTTCTCTCCAAATAGCCTCTATATGTGTTTTTGTATAGTATGTCATGTTCGAATGGACCTATTTGTGAAAAACCCATTATTTTAACCATTTGAGTTACAAATCAAAGTGTTTTTCAAGCTTTAGGGGATTTTAAGTTTTTATGATTTTTTAAAAACTCCAGATAGTTGAGTTGGAGGCTTCTATGTGTCCCTCTCACTTTGGTTGCAATTGAGGCTTAGCCCCTAAATAACCTCTTTCACAGGCTCACATAGAACCTTAATTTTGTTAGCTACCTAAACCCTGACAAAACTAGGAAATCAATAAATACCCAGAACGACTAGGACAAATTGTAAATCCATGTTCTTGTATGTTCCAGTAATTCATTTGATTCCATTTTCAAAAATATATTGTAATCCTTTTTGTTCTTCTCGTTATGTTGTTTCTTTGTTTTTTTTTTGGCGTTGACGTTTATAAGCTTTTTATGTGACAGATTAGATTATGTAATGGTTCCAATGTAATGGTTCCAATATTTCTCATTTTAGCTGGAGAACGAAAAACACATCAAACTGAGTAAGGAACTCGAGGAGAAGAGCCGCCAGCTGAGGTACAAATTTATTAAATCATCATGAACTTGTAAGATATATGTGGCTGTTTAGCTGGTATTATTGTTTGAATTATCTGCGGGAATTGGACTGGCTTGCAACAGGCAGATGAAAGGTGAGGATCTTGAAGGGCTGAATCTGGATGAGCTGCTGAAGTTAGAACAACTGGTGGAAGGAAGCCTTGGCCGTGTGATAGAAACTAAGGTCGGCCCTAGCTAATTTCTTTTCTAGTAAGGATGGTGCAGGGCGATCACTCTCTGTATTGTGGTTTAATAATTGAAACCGTTTATTATAATCTAGGAATCCTTGTTGCAGAATAGTTAAATGGTGTTAGTACAAGTGATAATCTAAATTATAGGGGAGGGGGGTTTCTCACCCACACGCACACAACTAAGATGCTAAAGGGGTTCGAATCCGAGAACTCTAGTCTGCAAATTAAAGTCATTTTCCACTGGTTAGACCCCGTTAGCTTAGTTAAATGGTGCAAGACATTACATTTGTGTTCCAATAAGTAAACAACAGCATCTCAACGAAACACTGAAATCATTACCATTTAATGAAATGGTCAAATAGTATCCAATATTCTATTTTTTTGCCGGATGATTCTTGAATGAAAACCTAAATGATGAACTGTTCGAATAATATAAAGTAGGTCCCACAATTGTCCCTTGTTTGAAGAAGTTGTTTGTGCATAGAGAGTATATTTTAATTGCTCTACTTTGTGAAAAGCATAAGTGTATCCTGGGTTGTCACTAAGGTTTGAGTTGCCAATTTGGGTTACATTATGCAAATAAACTAACATCTAAATGCAAATGTTCCATTCCTTTTCAGGAAGAGCTGATTATGAGTGAGATCATGTCACTGGAGAAAAAGGTTAGATGATTGATACGTACTCTGTAAATGAAAACAAATTTCAACTATTTACAATAATCAGGACTTTAACATCAATAATCATAACCAAGTTTGGATCTGGTTTTCTCTTCCACGCACACCGACTATAATTTCAGGGAGCTGAGCTGGTAGAAACCAACAACCAGTTAAGGCAGAGGGTAAGCAACTACCACAATCATGTACATATTTCTTCTTTCTTTCTTCTTCTTCTTTTTTTATTTATTATTTATTATTTATTTTGTATTTTTCGCATAGCAGATGGCGATGTTATCCGGAGGAAATACTGGACCTGCGCTTGTGGAGCCGGAGACGTTGAATACTAATATTGGAGGTGGAGGAGAAGACGGCATGTCATCTGAATCTGCCACAATGGCCACCTCTACCAGCTGCAATAGTGCTCTCAGTCTCTCTCTTGAAGATGACTGCTCCGATGTCACTTTATCTCTCAAATTGGGGTGAGCTACTTTTTTTTTTTTTTTTCTGGGTAGGTACCATCATATATATTTGTTTGTTTATTTATATTATATATTTATATGCTGTTTTTTTAGTTTTATCAAAGAAGATATGCTTGCTTTATTTGATGGTACTATAATAATCAATACTTGGGTCTCGTGGAAGAGGAGGGAAGGAGGGTTTTGCTAAGATATATTTCTGTACGTGTCAACTTGATTTTGGGTTTCATATCAACTCTACCAAACCAAAATATTTAGATTCAAGATGTTTTAGAGCAAGTTTATTTTGAGGTTTCATGTTTGTGTCTTTGGGCTATTTCACTTTTGTGTGTTTTTTTATAAATATATATTTTGTTATAGATAATATTTATATAAAAAAATGTAAATTTCGTAGTATGGTAGTCCAAATAAAATTATTTTAAACATTTTTATATAACTAATAATAATTAACTTGCTACAGAAATCTTCAGTTACGGGATCCCAACACTGAAAGGACTATTGAAAACATAAGGGAGGAAATATATTCATGATGAAGATTAAAACAACGTAACCTGAGTAAGGCATATAAAGGTTAAAATATCTCCACCAACAAATGTTGATGGGCAATTGCATTCATGGTATTTCTTTTATTCTGATCACCTTTTTAATAAATTTGCTAATCACTTTGTATTTTCTCTGAATTTCAGGCTTCCCTAGTTTCCTAGTTAAGAAGTGGACAAGGAAGAAAGTATACTCCCCTTATAGCTAAATAAACAAAGTCGAGATAATGTGAGATATATCAGTAAATGTGTGTCTTAACTCGATATAACATTAAAGGGAGAGTAACTTTGTATGTATCTAAAACCTATGCAGCCTAACATACTGCTCTTCGACTCTGTATTGTATGTATTAATATGCAGCCTGCATGGAGACTATTGTTGATTGGGTTATCAATGTCACAGCACATGCCAACCTTATAAGGTCGTGTTTGTTAGACGGGTCGTAGACTGGGGACTGGTTCCAATCCAGTCTCAAAGAGTTCCGCTCATTTAAGGACCTAAAAATGAAGATATGCGAGGACATCTTTAATGAAGGCCCTTAGATTAATCCAACAGCACATATAATTAGTAGTGTAAACCCTGACTCATACTCCTTGTTCTACTCAAACATTCTTGTTTAACTATTCTAATGAGCAAAAAAAAACAAAAACAAAAATTAAATTAGGGATACACGTTCAAGGGCTGATCTCTTTCTTCCTCTCCCCATCCATCTTCACCCCATCGTATGCTTTCTCTCTCGCTCTTGCATGCTGAGCCAAAAGAAAAATGGTGATACAAGTTGATTTTAGCATTATATTTGCTCGGACAAAGAAAATTGTTTTCACATCATGGTTTCTTTGATTTTATAACTTTCAGTTGCAATAAATTTGGACGCATATTGTATGTGCATCTGGGTTGTGTCACCTTAAACCCTACTGCAACCTATAAACCTAATTGAACTCTACCAACACCACCACCTGAAGAAACGTCATTGCAGTCACACCTACAACTGCATCCGTAACATATCTAGGAAAAATATAATTTATAGCGATCTACACGCACATATAAGCGAATAAATAAACGAAAACAACAAAATTGTCAAAAAACAATTGGGTGATTTGCAGCAAGTTTAGTGAAAAACGATGTAGAAACAAATTTAGAGAACATAAGCAGTGTTAGATATCTGGTTTTGGGAGAAGGAATTAATTGATAACATAGCCAAAAAGGGGTTATGAGGAACTTCAATCTAAGCATGGCTCAGAAGAAATCACCATAAGGGGCTTCTTATTCAAAATGTCTCAGTAGACTTATTCACTAACTCAAAAGGAAAAAATGAGAAGAGAGAAGGGGGAAGAGGGGCAATCCAATGATGCGTCTTCCTCTTCCCTCTATGAAGTTTTTCCTTTGGGACTCACAAAGGGAGAGAGAGCCTATAATTTTTAATGTGTCATGATTCACTCAATTAATATATTTTTTTTACCATACTCAATTATTTATTGAATCCATACAAAAAGTGTAATATAACTGTTCTGAAGTGTTATTACATTAATTTGTTTATTGTAAAATAAGATTCAGTAACACTTCCCTACATGACTATTTGCAAAGATTATAAATTGACGAAATAAAATACAACCCATTGTTTTGTCTCAATCCACAAAGTGGTTTAATGATTTAAATCGTTAGTTTTTATGTTGCTGCTCAAAGGTCATCCACACCCAAAAAAGAAAAAGAAAAAGTTAAATTTAAAATTTATTAGTCATTTAACTATAATTAAAATAACAGATAAAAATTATCAATATGAAATGAGTAAGATGATAATAGGAGTTAGGATAAAAAAAATTTCATGATGAAGATTCGAACTTAGAATTCTTCCAATATTACAAGAAAATTACCATTAAGCTATAAGAAAATATTTAGGGTAATTTTCATTTTACTACATTGAAGTTTACCGAATTTCAACCTTCGATATATCAAATTTTTTTCGTCTCAGTCACATACATAATGTTTATTTTTATATCACTTTCATACATCTGTTAGTTTGACAGTCACATTTTCCATTAAATAATGACGTGATCAATGTTGCCATGTGGACTCACCTATATTTTGCCATGTGGACTAAAATAATGAAAATATATTAATTAAGTAATTAAAATTTTATTAAAATTAAAAATAAAAAAACATCTCTCTCTTCCTAATCATTGTTCAGCCTCTCCCTGTTGTCCTTCTTTCTTCAACAACTATAAAAAATAATAATAAGGCTTATTTATTGTAGTATTCCCTGAAATTTTGGTCAAATCTCACTTTACCCCCCAACTTAACCCCCTTGACCGTGGTTTTGTGTTCTACTTTACCCCCCACCATTAACGCCATCCAAAAGACCGTCAAAAATGCTGACGTGGCAGGGTCATTATGGTAAAATCACACACGCTAGACAATTGCTGAGCATAGTCAGCGTCCTATGTGGAAAAGTGGACCCTACATACTTCTAAAATCAAAATTAATAAAAAATTCTTTACTTTTAAAGTTCAAAAAATCAATTATATGACATAATAAAATTTAAACTTTTGAAAAATTAATAAACCCTACCCATCAACCACTATCCCTCGAGCAGCCCCAACCCCTCCCACCCAGATTCCCCACCACGCCCCTCGCCTCTCTCTGTCTCTCCATCTCCCTCTGATTACAAAACAAAGTAATTAGATTCCCACATAAAATTAATCAAATTTTCATATGTGTCATTATGAATACCATAGAGAGAAACAAAACAAGAAAAAGAGGAAACCCCAATTTGCAAAAGAAGTATCCTTTGGGTTTTGTGGATTTCATTGGCCAAGAAGAAAGGAACATTTCCATTGTTATTTTATTTTCTAGTTTGCAAGTTCATAAGGTTCCTTTATGATGGTTCCAATGATTAGTTTATAGTCTCTGTTTCAAACCATCGCCTAGATGCTTGTTTCTGTTGCCCTTTGGATCATTCGGGCCTTCTTTGTTCAAGCCCAGAATATTACTCACTTTATCGCTTGGATCCAACATTTTCTATCATCTCTCAAAGATCTAAGATGAATCCAGATGAGAAAATAACAAACCCAATGCAACGAGCCACAACCCCCCGCCCCTCTCTGCCCCTGTGTGCCCCTCCACTTGCCCTTCTCTGCTCATATGTGTCTTTCTTCTCTTTTTCCCTATGTCACCAAATCCAGTGACTCCATACCCCAACCACAACCCACCAACCTATGTAATTACTCTCCACCCTAGCCACCCTTAGTGAAATCTGAAAAGAAAATACATTTTAAGGTTGTATTAGCTGTTGGATGGTTTTTAATATCAAGGGAGAGGAGGAAGATCGAGAGGGAGAGAAGAGAGCAGGCTGGGGTCGGAGGGATGGTGGTGACAATGTAGAGAAGATGGTTCCTGCTAATTTTTTTATTATAAAAATTTAAGTTCTTCTAACTATTTCTTTTAATTACTTTAAAAGACTAAGAATATTTTATTATGTTGTGGACTCTACTTTGCCACATCATCCAATCAAATTGGTGGGTAAAGAGGGCTACTATTTCTACCATTCCGTCCTATTTTTCCACCACCACCTTATCTTCAAAATTTTAAAGACAAATTTACCCCTTTATAAAATGACTTATAAGGACATAGAAAAAAAACCTCAACTTAAGTAAGCATTTTGACTTCTCATTTCCTCTTTCCTTCCGCTCTACCTCCCCTAAAATGCTCCTTGATCTTTTTTTTTGGGGTTCTTGTCTGAAACTTCAATCCTCCCCTCCTCACTCCATGACTCACCCTTAATTTTCTTTTCCCTTCGGTTCGCCCACCTTCATAATGTATTAGACTTCATTGCTCTTCGTTGGCAATAAATGAAGACATTAGTAAGAGTAGTGCTACCAAGAAAAGACATAAAACCTGCAGCAATTAAGTAACAGCACAAGAATCATAAACCTTTAGGAATAATGATGGGTGGAAAAATAGGATTGTGTTTTTTCAAATTTACATGGTGGGTGGGAAGATAAGGTGGGTGTGTAAGTGTATGCATTTTGAGTTTTTCTTTTGGCTTCCCTTGACATATTGTAATAGGACATAAACTGTAATTACCCAAGCTCTAGTTTAGATTAAGAATTGCAATGTTCGTATCTAGCTGCAATCTGATGGACAATCAATGATTTTGGCAAAGGTAATTTCTACATTGCATCATATTGCATTCACTAAATTTCTTAAGATTATGACTAGTCATCTTGCTTTCGTATGACTAGTCATCCTTTGCATCAGTAGGATTTCTAGCTGGATCCTAACCAACTCTTTTGTCCTATTCTCTCTGCTACCATCTGTACTTTCTAACCTAGGAATTTTTTGTGTAAAAGCCAAATGATTCCTCATTTGGTAGCTGTCTTTTTTGATAGGAAGTTTTGAAAAGGTTTCTTCATCCTTTTGCTCTCTCTTCTTCCTCAAGAGAAAACCACCATTTTCATCTATGAGTTTTCTAAATTGATTTTTCGAAAGCTGCATTTGAAATATGAAATCTGCATCTAGCTAGAACAAACACATTCTCATATTCATCTAGGTCAGATTCAAGATTGATTTCTTCAAGAGTATGGTTTCTTGAAGAAATTGGTCATTTTTCCTTGAATCCAAATTTTGGTTTCTGTCTGAGTTTGAGCTAGCTAGCAGGTGTCATGGGATGAAAGAGCTGAAGAAGGAGTTGTCATTGCCATGAAAGACTGAGCTACTAGTTCTGCTATGTTGGAGAAGAAGATTGCACAAAGGAGGTATAACTTATCTTCCTAAATAGATCTAGGATTTCTTGAATTTGCTTGTGTTCCTTTGTAAGAATCTTATTTGCTTAGTGGATTGCCTGGTCGGTTGATGACCCCCAGTTTTTCCCAATGGTGGGTTTCTGGGTGAACAACTTCTGATTCGCAGCTATGTTATTTTCTGGGTTTGTGTTCTTGATAGTTGACTAGTCATCGCATGATGTTCATGTATTTTTGGGTTTGTGTTCTTGCAGTTGACTAGTCATCATTATCTGTTGTTTACTGTTTACTTGATTATGATGCTTTCACACACTTTCATCACCATAGTTGTTACTAGCACAAGGGATGACTAGATTGACGAGTCCTTCTGAGTGCATAGGTTGTCACTAGTAATCTTCTTGGCTTACAGGTACATATTGGTATTCTCTGTGTATGTGTTCTTGGTTATGGTTTTACATGATTGACAGTTGACTAGTCATAAGTACATTTGGTCAAGGTTTAAAGTATGTGAAGATTGGTGTGTCTATTTGAATAGCTTGTAATTTTACCCCTCGTCACCTAAGTACCAATTTCAGGGTGGGGAAATAGGACAGGGGGTGGAAATAGCAACACTCATGGGTGAATAAGCCACATATATGAAATTACTTAAACACCATTT